TCTTCACGTTTTATTTCATTAAGTTGGACTTTGACCTCTGATATCCCTTCTTCTGCTTGAACAATTCGAGTGTTTAAACCTGTGCATACTTCTCGGAGTTCCTGTATTGTATTCTTCAGTTCCATTAATTCACTCATACTCCTCTCTAAGTTGTCTATTCTCAATAGGATTTCATCAAACCTTTTTTCAAAGTTCCTAGTTTCTTTACGTTGGGCTACAACATGGTCTTTTATCTCACCGAAGTTTGTTATTATCCATTCCTTGAAGAGTGATTCTGTCATCAGGAGGCGCTCGTTCTCCATCAAGCCTTGTTCCATTGTTGATGTGGAACTGTGATCATCTTTAGAGGGAGAGGCGTTCCGACTTTGAGTATTCTCAGCTTTTTTACGCTGGTTTCTTCCCGTCATTGTAAATTTATCCTCCTCTCATCTTTGAAATTACCAACTTTCAGATTAGGTCTCTTGAGTGGACGTCCAGGTTGTTAGTTCCCAGGGCCAGAGCAGCTGCCTTAAAACTGATGGTGCTTTTCTGCCCAGGATTCTCCTGTCGGGCTTCCTTCTTGTTTCTGTAGTAGGCGACTCTGCCTTCCCGGGGCTCCAAACCTCGGTCAGAAGGGGAACCGGTCTTGTTTACTCTGCACCGAGCGCTGCCGCGCTGAGGTGCCGGCGGAACCGCTGCGCCGACCACCAGAGTCGCGCTAGCGACTCGTGTGTTTCCACCACTGGGGGATCTTCTGCTCCGTGAGCGACCAGACTTTGTCTGAAAGTGTGGCGTCCTCTAGTTCTCCGCGCCTTCCCTGAGAGCTGCAATCCCGGGATGTTAGCGATCGGCCATCTTGGATCGTACCCCCTTTAGAAACTCTTGATGGTGATGGAGGCAGAAAATTTGAACTTGCCTGGTTAGAGTTTAGATGCCTCTAGCAGCCACATTTCAGGAAGAGTAGAGAAGCAAGGACTGCTTAAGTTAGTAGCTGCCTTGATAAGGTTTAGCATAAAGCAGAATTCATGTCAGAAAGATAACTTAAAAATTATGTCTGGGCCGGGCGCGGTGGCTCAAGCCTATAGACCCAGCACTTTGGGAGGCTGAGGTGGGTGGATCACGAGGTCAAGAGATCGAGACCATCTTGGTCAACATAGTGAAACCCCGTCTCTACTAGAAATACAAAAAATTAGCTGGGCATGGTGGTGCGTGCCTGTAATCCCAGCTACTCAGGAGGCTGAGGCAGGTGAATTGCCTGAACCCAGGAGGCGGAGGTTGCGGTGAGCCGAGATCATGCCATTGCACTCCAGCCTGGGTAACAAGAGCAAAACTCTGTCTCAAAAAAAAAAAAAAAAAATGTCTAAATGGCTACCAGGGTACCTGTAGCACCCATCTAGCAAATTAGTATTGTGTATCATTTTTTCTTCTTTTAAGACAAGATCTCACTCTGACACACAGGCTGAAGTGCAGTGGTGTGATCATAGCTCACCGAAGCCTTGAACTCTGGGTTAAAGTGGTCCTCCCACCTCAGTTCCCGAGTAGCTGGGACTACAGGCATGTGCCATCATGCCCAGCTAATTTTTAAGTTTTTAAAAATTTTAATTAAAAAATTTTTTTTGTAGAGACACAGTTTCTCTATGTTGCCAGGTTTCTCTCAAACTCCTGGCCTCAAGCAGTCCTGCCTCAGACTCCCAAAGTGCTGGGATTATAGGCATGAGCCAGTGTACCTGGCCGGTATTGTGTATCATGAAAGATAGTTTGGACAGCCCTTGGAAAGCCAATATGTCAGTAAACAAATGAGAACCACTTAAGCACATTTATAAAACAGTCATAGAGTAGGGATACAAGTAGTACAAACTCTTTAATATTTAAGTATTGAAGGGATTCTGAAATAAAGAATTCAATGATATTAATCAAGAAAGACTTTTTGGCTGGGCGCAGTGGCCCACACCTGTAATCGCAGCACTTTGGGAGGCTGAGGCAGGTGGATCACTTCAGCTCAGGAGTTTGAAACCAGCCTGGCCAACATGGTAAAACCCCATCTCTACTAAAAATACAAAAATTAGCCAGGTGTGGTGGTGTGTACCTGTAGTCCCAGCTACTTGGGAGGCTGAGGCAACAGAATTGCTTGAACCCGAGAGGCAGAGATTTCAGTGAGCCAGAATTGCACCACTGCATCCCAGCCTGGGAGACAGAGCTAGACTCCATCTCAGGTGAGAAATAAAAAGCTTTTTTGAAGAAAGAAAGGGTAGAGATTTCTTTCAGTACTGTGTAAAGAGCTGAGGTTATAGCTGAGATCAAGACAGTCAAGGTCCCTGCCCTTGTGCCGTTAACATGCGAGTAGGGCAGGGATGAAATAGTAAACAAGTAAATAAGTAAAATACTTTTGTATTTATAATTACTATTAAAGAAATAGATATGTTGGTAACTAAACAGGTGACCTACCTACTTTAAGTTGTATGGTCAGATAAGGTATCTCTGAGGAAGTAACATTTGAACAGATACCTGGAAGATAAGAGGGACCTAACGATTAGAAATGTTGTGGGAAGAACATTTCAGGCACAGGGGACAGCCAGTGCAAAGTCATTGGAACAGAGCAAGTTCCCCAGGCTAGAGAGCAGTGGTGTGATCTAGGCTCACTGCAACCTCTGCCTTCCAGGTTCAAGCAGTTCTCCTGCCTCAGCCTTCCCAGTAGCTGGGATTAAAGGCACACACCACCACGCCCAGCCAATTTTGTCTGTTTTTTAGTAGAGATGGGGTTTCACCATGTTGGCCTGGCTGGTCTTGAACACTTGACCTCAAGAGATCCTCCCACCTCGGCCTTCCAAAGTGCTGGGATTACAGGTGTGAGCCACCTTATCAGTGATACTTAAATATTTTACATTGAGCATATGTTTGAACCATTTTTGGTTACTAAAGAACAAGTCAGCAGGGCCAAATGCACTAGAAAAGTCTAGTAAAATTAAGGCTAAAAATGTCTACTGGATTTGGAAATCAGAGATCATTACTGGTATGGGATCAAAAGTGATCTCAGTGAAGAAAATATGGGATATCAGGAAATAGATGTCATGGTTTAGGCTTTTTTAAAAAAGACTATTCCAGATAAAGGAGGGTGATTAAAGGAGGCTGTAGAGTCTGTAGAGTCTAGGAAGCAGGAGCTGATGTTTTGCAGAGGAGTTTTCTTCCCATTTACAAATTTTTAGTATGTTTTATACCTTGTGGAAGAAGAATCCAGTAGAAAGTAAGGAAAATATGGAAGAGGGAAGACTTCAAGCAGAATGATTTTAGAACTTCTCTCATTTGTCTCATCTGTCCACTAATGATTAAGCTCCTTTGCAAGATTAAGAACCAGATAAAGTGTTTAGCAAGACCAATATGGGAAGACATCCCCAGACTTTAGGTAAGAGGGCTTTGTTTAGATGGTCTTTGAAACCCCCCCAATCTTCACTTCTGCAAGTCTAGTTTTATCTGAGTTGGTTCTGGTAAGCATGAATGTAACAGAAACAAACACCTGCTTTAGTATGGCTTGAGCCAAGAATCCAGTCTTATTGGTGAGACAGATTAGAATGAAGCATTTTTGTTTCTTTTGAGAAGCAAAGCATTCTCCCAGTGTTGCATCACAAAATCTGAGAGAGTTAGCACTTCCTCTAGCTCCTTGTCAAGCTAAGAAGCTCTCTTTTTCTTTATAAGTGCCTCTCCCTCCACTTTTCCCAAAGATACCAATTAAGAATGTGCTTTGCCAAGAATCAGTGTATTTTGGGAATCCATTTCTTCGTCTCGCTAGGGTTACAATGAGTCATGGCTGTGACTCCATTCTTCCTCTGGAATCTGTAAGGTGGCAGATACTGAAGACCTTCAATGCTACCCCCTCCCCCTTGAAAGGTTCTAGGCTCTGGGCTTCTAAGAGTGACTTCCCTCCCTGTGGAATCAGAGTGTCATCTGGTATATGTTAGATAGAAACTTGGGGTGAAACACTCTCCTTTGAGGGATTTTAAATGCTATTGTAACCAGGGCATAAATGTTTGTGTATACAAATTTCTCTAGTCATAGGATTTCAAGAGATATCTTAAACTTTCTGGAGGCCACTTTGAATAGGAACAGTAGAGCATGACTCTGTCTTCCCTAGGAACTCTCCTAAGCTCTATCAAAGTGCAGACTGAAACTCACACTTCTCATTCTGCTTCTTAACATTAGGTATCCTGGCATGGATATAAGGTCTAATTAAGTCCCTGGCTTCTTGGTCAGTGTCTTCCCCTTTCATACACCTACTTTTTGGGCAATTGAAGGGAAATGTATGACAAGATAGGGCAGGAGAAACCAGTGTTTTGAGGCATCCAGGGGATGCCAGCAACGATGATTCCTGTGTGTTCTGTCAGGTTCCAAAGTGTGTCTGCTGAGAGGCTTGCTCAGCAAGTGTGAATTCCTGTCTTTTCACCCTATCCATCCATGGGTGAATCAGCCCACAGGAGAACCAACCACTAAGGCATCTGCAGGCTGTATCTGAAAGATAAGACTGTAAGAGAGTGAGACTTGACATAGAAGTAGGCAGAGCTTCTGAATACCTGCGCTAACTAAGTTTCTTCAGCCTATGAAAATGAGCTGCCCTTTCTATAAGGCACTAATTTACTGTCGCCTGTGAAAATATAGAGATCACTTATTCTAAACTAAGACCTCTTTTCCCTTGAAATGTTCTTGTAAGGGGAAGAAAGGCAGCAAGGCTAGGTTAGTCCAAATCACAAGGGCCCTCACTTCTCTTAAGCCCTAAAATACTTATCAGCCCTGTCTACATTTCCCAGTGTCCTGTCTTGAATTTTCATTCATTCAGGGTGGCCTCCTGCAAATTGGTTTATGATACCTGCTCTGACAATCCCAGTGAAGTCCTCACATGAAGAAAGTATAATAAGAAGCAAAAGTAGAGCTCAGTTATGGGAGGCTCCTTCATTATTTTCATGGTGTTTGAGGGACAATGGGAAAGAGGATGTGGCCTGTCACTAAGAAGTCTCTGCTTTCTATTCCTCAAGCAACCTCATAATATTCTGCAGAGGCGCCTCATGGAAACCAACCTGTCTAAGCTCCGAAGCAGCCGTGTCCCTTGGGCCTCTAAGACGAACAAAGTCAATCAGGCTAAGTCTGAGGGGCTAAAGAAGTCTGAGGAGGATGACATGATTTTGGTTTCTTGCCAGGTAATGTTCTGAGAACAGCTTTTCCAGGGGTTTCTGGAAAGTATGATGTGGGGCCCTCTCCTCCTGACTTTAAAGAGTATGAGTCTTGGCCGGGCGCGGTGGCTCACGCCTATAATCCCAGCACTTTGGGAGGCCGACACAGGTGGATCACAAGGTCAAGAGATCGAGACCATCCTGGTCAACATGGTGAAACCCCATCTCTACTAAAAATACAAAAAAAAAAAAAAATAGCTGGGCATGGTGGCGGGCACCTGTAGTCCCAGCTACTCAGGAGGCTGAGGCAGGAGAATTGCTTGAACCCAGGAGGCAGAGGTTGCAGTGAGTGGAGTTTACGCCATTGCACTCCAGCCTGGGTAACAACAGCAAAACTCCATCTCAAAAAAAAAAGAAACAGAGTATGAGTCTCATGTAATTCATAAATGAGTTTTAAAAGGGACACTCCATGCAACACTGGAAGTGTATACAACTTTTATATGCACCTGCGTTTTTATGGTAAGAAGGAGCAAAGCTTTCATCAGATTTACAAACGGGTATGTGATTAAAAAAAAGAGAGAGAGATTAAGAGATATTTGGTATATAGCATGAAACACCTAGAGATTTTTTTGGGATCTTCTGTCAGCCCTGGATTCAGCAGGAACAAGAGCCAGTCAAAGGCAGACTTAGCAGTGGTAAAGATGAGACACTACAACCCATAATGGGGAGGATGCTCTCCAACCCTGCCTTTCATATGACATCTGCTGCTTGCTGTCTGCATCTCCCTTCCCTTTTGCTTCTCTGGCTCTTGCTGAACAGTACATTTCCTCCCCACAGTGTGCTGGAAAGGATGTGAAAGCCTTGGTTGACACAGGCTGTCTGTATAATCTCATCTCTTCGGCCTGTGTGGATAGATTGGGGTAAGTAGCCACTTGTGCTGTGTGGAACTTACATGTGAGTGTACTTCTTTGACTCTATTTTATGGTTAGAGACAGTGAGGGGCTCCATAGCAGCTTGAAGAGAAGTATACAGAGCTCAGATCTCAGTTGGAACCAGAGTCCTTAGTAGAGTGGAGGAGTGGTGGATTATCAGGCAAGTGGGAGAAATCAGTGAGCAGGGAAACCTTCGGCTTTCTGTTAACTCCCACCTAGTAAGTTTTGAGCAAAGACCTCTAAACTTGAATGAGAGAGCCTGAGACCTCTGGCTCATTGTGTGCCTTGCCCTGATCCACTAGACAGCAAATTAAAAGGAGCTGTCCTGTTGGTGTACTCCATCTAGATGAGTAAAAGTAGGGATGTGGTTGGCTTTAGCTTACTCAGAGTCTTTCTAGAGGAGGCACTGCCTATCCCCAAGAAACATGCTTCAGAACTGAGAATAGGATTGCAGTTGCTGCTGGGCCTGGGCCATCATAAAGATGATTTACTTTTTTTTTTGTTTCATGAGGTGGAGTCTCACTCTGTCGCCCAGGCTAGAGTGCAGTCTCGGTTCACTGCAACCTCCGCCTCCTGGGCTCAAGCGATCCTCCTGCCTCAGCCTCTTGAATAACTGAGACTACAGGTGTGTACCACCATGCCTGGCTAATTTTTTGTATTTTTTTGTAGAGAGAGGTTTTGCCATGTTGCCCAGGATGGTCTTGAACTCCTGAGCTCGAGCAATCTGCCTGCTTCAGCCTCCCAGAGTGCTAGGATTACAGGCATGAGCCACTGTGCCAGCCTTGAGCTTTTTTATGTGGTGAAGAGATGAAGTATAGTGTAACATGTTGGTTCCAGAAAGACGAATAATGTCCTGTTGCATAATTAGGCAGCAGACTGCCATGATTCCAGAGGAATTAATAACCATCTGTAAAACTGCAATTATTTTTCTTTTGGATGGGCCATAACACCAAAAGAGAAGAAATAGAGAAAAGCGGAAGTATTGGCACAGAAAGTCCATAATTAAGTATTTATCTACCAACCCATAATAGCTCGGGTGCTTGCTATTCCAATCAGCTTACATAACTATGTGAAACGTTGGTACTGTTTCTTTCCTTCCTCCCTTGCACAGACAAGTTAAATTAACAAGGACTTTCTCCATGATATTCATTGCTGATACAAATACCAATGTACTTACCAAATAAGTACTTGCCCCCACAAACATTATAGTCTAAGACAGACTGATGAAAACAGAATGAAATAGAATAGACAAAGAGAAAATTAGACAGTGAACAAAGACCTTCTAAAATTAGCATGAATCTGACTTCTCTAGTATCTGTTACTCACAGATGAGTAAAAGGACATGTTAACTCATTTGCCTCACACAATGGTGGGGGCATTAGAGTACAGAATAGGATTCTCTGAATGTGTTAGTTCCCCTCTCTTCACCAGTACGCATAAGTGATGTAAAGTTTTTGAGAACAGGAAATGAGACTTTAGTGTTTTATTATCCCCCTGGCATGTTTAGGACAAAGTGCTGAAACTACAAATATGGGATGGCTTTTTGATAAATTAGTCCCGGGAGATCCCTGGAGAATTCCAATTGCAGGTCAGAAGGTAGGCATTGCCAGATTTTACAGGAATCTCTGTCAAGGGGATTTTTGTATCTTCCTCTTTGGTGCAGACTCAAGGAGCATGTCAAATCCCACAAGCATGAAGGAGAAAAGCTTTCTCTACCCCGGCATCTCAAAGTTGTGGGCCAGATTGAGCACCTGGTGATCACACTGGGCTCCCTCCGTCTGGACTGCCCAGCAGCTGTGGTCGGTAAGCAGAATTGAGGGCTGGACCTACGGACCCTAACATAAACCCTCTCCCTACCCTCAACAAAACTTCATGAAATCTCATGCCTGTAAATATTGACACTCAAAATGGTTCCCATTTTCCTGTACTATAAACCTTGTCCGAATTTTTGCTCTCCAAAGTACTAGATGGGTCCTGAGCTACATTCAAGACATGTTGAGAATGAATCAGTAAAACCAATGTGGAGGTCAGATTAAAAAAAATTCAAGGAGCAAGAGGCCGGGTGCAGTGGCTCAAGTCTGTAATCCGAGCACTTTGGGAGGCCAAGGCAGGTGGATCACCTGAGGTTGGGAGTTTGAGACCAGCCTGACCAATATGGAGAAACCCTGTCTTTACTAAAAATACAAAATTAGCCTGGTGTGGTGGTGGCAGATGCCTGTAATCCCAGCCTCTCTGGAGGCTGAGTCAGGAGATTCAGTTAAACCTGGGGGGTGGAGGTTGTGGTGAGCCAAGGTCGCACCAGTGCACTCCAGCCTGAGCAAAAAGAGAGCAAAACTCTGTCTCAAAAAAAAAAAGCAAGAAAACACATTTTTTATGTGCAGGTGAAAATGTCCCCTGAGAGCTTTCCATGAACTATTTAGAGACAGAGGGCAACTTACTTACTCCTTTGCCATAAATCCCTTGATAATTTCCCACCACCTTCTATACTTCTCATATATTTTATTCTTGGCTACTCTAAGTTCTTGGTTTTGTCTAAAGGCCTTTATCCTTTAGAGTAAAAAAGACCTGGGTTTGAATCTTGGCTCTATTGCGTTGTAACTTTAATGATCTAGGAATATTACTTAATACAACAGATGCTCAATATATATTTATTGGATGTTACTAGATGGATGGATGGATGGATGGATGGAACCTAATAGTGATTAGGCTGACTTCTAAGCAAACATGGAAATGGCTAAATCTTAATCATCTTTTTGTTCTTATTAGATGACAATGAGAAAAACTTGTCCCTTGGTCTGCAGACTCTCCGATCTCTGAAGGTAAGATTGACTCCACGTATCCCTTGATACTTCCTCTCTGAGGCAGGTATCCTCTTACGTGGGAACTCATAGTGGTATCACTGGCAAGTTACCAATGATTCTCCTGTTTTTAGTGTATCATAAACTTGGATAAGCACCGGCTGATCATGGGGAAGACAGACAAGGAAGAAATCCCTTTTGTGGAGACAGTCTTTTTGAATGAAGACAAGTGAGTACCCAAATGGGTCAGATCAAGTCACATCCATTTGTCATGAGCTGGGGTGGGTAGTAGAGGTTCTCAGACAGGATATGGGGTTGTATCCTGTCTTTGGCTTTCAATCATGCTACAAATCCACCCTTCCCCACACCCAAAGTTCACCATCCCACAAACTCTGTAGCGCACATATCAGAATGAGCAATGGTGATGCCACACAGAGTGGTAGGGAAATGAGTAGCTTTTAAACTATAATTCTGCTTGTCTTCAGCTTGACTTTTTTGAATTTGGCATTATTTCTTCTGATACTTATTTCTCATTTCAGCACTTCAGAAGCATAACTACAGCCTGCAGCATGTCTGCACATGTGCATACACTGAGTTGACAGATTGAGAAAACTGGGTTTGAACCAAATGCAGTAGCAAATTGCTGTGGACCAAGTCCTTCCATCTAATAGAAGCTCCAGGGGCTCCTTCCCATTCAGACCTCTTAGACTGTAGTCTACGCTTAGAGATCTTGTCTGGTTATAGCCATTGTTTTTTACACCTTGATCAATTAATTTATAGACCTTTGTTGACACTGCCAGTCTCACTTGTGGCCTATTTCTCTGCTTCTTCCAGGAATTTGCTTTCATTAGTCAAGTATAGGGGCTGCCAGGTTCTGTGTCTCCATAGGTGTATTTACTTCTTTTCCTATAGCTAAATGTATAATAAACAGGAACCTGACCCTAACCTCTTTTCAGCTGTTTCAAACAGGTGCCAGGATACCTATGTCTTGGAATTAGAGTTTCTTCAAATTCATTTGTTGATTTCTCAAGTATGGATTATGTGAAAGAGCCCAGGGAGATCATCTATTATAGTTTAACTCTTTTATTTAAAGGTCCAGCGAGGCAAGTGAATTGTCTAAGTTCATATATTAGGTCAGTGACTGAAGGGACCTAGAACACAGACCAGATTTCCAAGCCAAGACTCCCATGCTACCTTGTTTGTGTTCAAGCCTTAACAAGAGGGCAAAGAGGTGAGAGTGTTTAAAAAAATTGGGGTTGTGGCAGAACAGGGGAGGAATATGCTCTGGAGTTGGATGCTAGGATGATTTGGGTAGCTCTCCCTCCTGTGTGCCAAGCCCACTAAAAGTTCCTTGCCCCAGACTGTCACATTGAGGCCCTCATCTTGGTGCCTAAAAACTGAGAGTACAAAGATGAATGAAATGGTTTCTCACTGGGAACCTCTTGGAGGAAAGGAGGAACCACAGATAGAGGAATATTAATCCCTCTCTGAGATGGAATTGAAGGCTTAAGTAAATCAAATGTCATTGTCAGGTGTTGATTACTCCCAAGATCCAGTCAGCATTCCTGCCCATCCTGTTATGATTCTGCCAAGGACTTAAGTAGCTGGAAACCAGGAGTAGAAAAAAGAGATTTAAAAAAAGAGAGAGGGAGCAAGACCAGAATTGAAGGGAGTAGACTGAGTAGAATAAATTGGTGGAGAGGCCTACCTAGATAAATCTTTCTGGGAGGTAGGGAATGGAACTTTCAGGCAGGGAATTGAGATCTTCAGTTCTGTCCTGGTAAAGGAAAGAGGCAGAGCAGGAGCCAGCAGTGTTAAGGACAACGTTTTATAACTGCCCACTATTTCCTGACCTTTCTCAAAATTTGAGGAGAATATAGGGTTTTTTTGAAGTTTTTGGTTGGGGTGTCACATTAGGCACACAGGTATCTGTAATGAAATCTCCCCTTCAGTTTGGTCATAGAAGTGCTTGGACAAGTCAGAAAAATAGATATCTGTGGGCATTCCTTTAAGATATTCCCAAGCCTACCCTGTGTCACAGTAGTAGTTCTCAGAGTGTTTTGTTTAATGGATCCCACTTTGAACTTTCCCAAGTACCACCAACTAACTTGTCTGGTGTTCAGCAATTGCCCCTACCAAACAACCCTTTGGAACTCTGAAAGATTTGGGCCTCACAGAACCTCCCTAAAGACTGGGAACTTGGGCCCAGGTGTGGTGGCTCATACCTGTAATCCCTGTACTTTGGGAGGCCGAGGTGGGTGGATCACCTGCAATTAGGAGTTTGAGACCATCCTGGCCAACAGGGTGAAACCCTGTCTCTACTAGAAAAAAATATGAAAAATTAGCCAGGTGTGTTGGCAGGAACCTAAAATCCTAGCTGCATAGGAGGCTGAGGCAGGACAATTGCTTGAATCCAGGTGGTGGATGTTGCAGTGAGTCAAGATCATGCCACTGCACTCCAGCCTGGGCAACAGAGCAAGACTCTGTCTCAAGGAAAAAAAAAAAAAAAAAGAACTTGGCGACAATCATTTGAACAACTAGGCACCCACATTGCAGTCAGTTGTCATGGCCCCCTTCCTTTTAGCCTCTACCTAAGGAAGCTAGATAGAAAGCTAAGCACAGCCACAGTTGGGAGGCTACATCTGAAGCTCAGCAGGGGTGACCCTGGGGTTACCCGTCTTCAGCACTTCCTCTAGCAATACCCCATTCTCTTACCAAGGGGTGATTTGCACCTTTCCACTGAGGCCTCTCCATGCTCCTTCCCTACCTTTCATGGCAATACCGTGGCCTGCCTCTTATCCTGGTACTAAGTTAAAGTAAAGTTCACCCTTTACTTCCCTACTTGAAAGTTCCACTCTGAGCCTTGACTCTTGGCCACAGTGAGGCATGTTGAAGGTTCCTTCTGGTTTATTCTTATTTGGATTCCCCATGGACCATGTGAGGCCAGGAACTCTCAAGTTCTGGAAAGATGCTTCTGGACCTTTGTGTTTATGATTATATGGTATCGGGGATGATTAGATGACTTTTAGTGATCCTTCTGGCCTCTGAATATCAGTCAATAATTTTCTAGTTTTGGAATTGAAATGTTTGGGGTGAACTTGGCTTAGGATATAATCTCATGTAATGCAGTCAAAACATTTGAATTTTCTAACCGAATAATTATGTTTTAAACCCCAGCCTTGATAGAGGCTCTAAAAAATGTCTTGAGACAGTTATGGGAAGTCTTCAGCTTTATTCACCTTTGAATGCTGCCAAGTTGATTACTCTCCTAGCCTACATCTTGTTGTGTATGAGGAAGCACTAGGTCTAATTTTGGGGGTGGGCTGGCAAGGTAAGAAGGTGAGGTCAGTTTTTCCCAGAGTATTAAAAATTCTAGTACCTTAGATTGAGGGTATGGGAGAAAAGGTGTCTATCCAGGTCATAGTTCTGAAAATAGGCAGTAGCATGAAGTACCAAACCTATCTAATACTTTATTAGATGTCCATCTCAAATACAGGGAGTTTGAAAATATTGTTTTTATCATTTGGTATTTCCATGCCTGGACTCATTTGGGAAAATAATGTTTTTCGACTTTTTTCTATTTTCGTGCCCTGCACAGACCCTACTTGGTACAATTTTCTATTTCTTAGCTCAAAGTGTCTATAGAATGGATTGCCTGGTATGTCAGCTGCCCTCACTCATGTGTAATAGAAATGTATTTCCAGGCTGCGGACATGGAGGAGATGGCCTGGATTCCTCCCTCCTTCTGTTGCCAGGCCTCTCTGCATTGGCACTTTATCTTTTCAGTGTTTCTGGCTGTGTTGGGTTTATTTGTGAGACTGATGTAACAATAAAATGAAATCTTCCCCTCTGTGTGCTTGTCTGACAAAGTCTTTGTGTCCGGGCCCCAGTCTGGAAGGTGGGGGAAACCAGGTACATTCTGATTGCATCAGTGTTTTTCTCTTAGGATCTTCTGTTCCTCCATTGTTACTGGCCCCTCAGGTGTCTCTTATTGACTATATGTCCTTGGGCAAGTTAGTGAACTTCACTGAACTTGGTTTTGTAATCTATAAAACAGAAGTAATAGTGCTTACCTCGCAGTATCAAATGAGAAAATCCATATAGAGTGGTTGGCATATGGTAGTCACTCAGAGCTTCATATATGGGAACAATCTTTTATGGTGGGTCAGTCAGCAGTGTTTGAGAGAACATTTCTAGAAAAGGAAATATAGCTAGACACAGTGGCTCACACCTGTAATCCCAGCATTCTGAAAGACTAAGGCTGGAGGATTACTTGAGCCCAGGAGTTCAAGACCAGCCTGGACCACACAGTGAGATCTCGTCTCTAAATTTTGTTGTTTAATTAGTCAGGAGTGGTGGCATGGAACTGTAGTGCTAGCTACTCAAGAGACTGAGACAGAAGAATCACTTGAACCCGGGAGGTCTAGACTGCAGTGAGCTGTGATTGAGCCACTGTACTCTAGCCTGGGCAACAGAGTGATACCCTGTCTCAAAAAAAAAAAAAAAAGGAAATATTTATTTAGTTCAAACAAATGGAAGAGGTTTGAGAAGGGAAAGGGTTGAATGAACCTTAATATATAGTTAAAGTCATTGTCTAAATGGCATCCCAAATAAATGTGTTTTAAAGATGATGGAAACTTACCTTTTCAGTATTGATGTTTTTAATATAACTTAAACAACATGGTTAAATAGTCAACTGGCAACATGCTTTCATTATGACAATGGTTATCACCATTATGGTTTTACTACTACTCAGAATATACTACCATTCTACCTCAAAAGATTTTGTTTTGTTTTTGCCAATTTATTCTAATGATAAAAAACGTCAAGTATTTCACCTACTAGGTCCTTAAGCAATGAGTGACAGAATCAATATTCATAAGCATCTCAGAAGAATACAACCAACAAATTAAGTTTTACCCAGAGTTAAGAATATATATTGTTACCTTCATTTTAAAATATTTATTGCACTTGCATAGTGGGGGAGAACTTGGATTAACAGAAATTCATGTTAAAATGATACTGATGTTTTAGTTGATTACACATTGTATGTAGAAAAATTAAGGACTAGGACTCTTTGTATAGGAGATGTCATTTGCAAGACAGGGACATGTATACAGTTTGTGGCACATCCAGAAAAGCACAATGGTAGTATGATTACTGTCTTCAGAGTTGTCATTGGAAAGTAGCTTTTTTTTCTGGTACCAAAGGCAAGCATTTCTTTCTTTTTTCTTTCTTTATTTATTTTTTTTTGAGATGGAATCTCATTCTGTTGCCAGGCTGGAGTGCAATGGCATGATCTCAGCTCACTGCAACCTCAGTCTCATGGATTCCTGATTCAAGCAATTTTCCTGCCTCAGCTTCCCAAGTAGCTGGGATTACAGGTGTGCACCACTACGCCCAACTAATTTTTTATTTTTAGTAGAGATGGGGTTTCACCATTTTGGCCAGTATGGTCTCAATCTCTCGACCTTGTGATCCACCTGCCTCAGCCTCCCAAAGTGCTGGGATTATATGTGTGAGCCACCGTGCCCAGCTGAAGGCAAGCATTTCTAATAAATGGAGGTAGCAGAGAGGTATATCCTGACTCAACTCAACTGGAGGAAAACATTTACATATACCAAGGATGATGCTATCCCCTGCAAAGAAGGTGGTATTGTTCAGTTTTACAGAAGAGAAAACTAAGGCTTAGAATAGTATCAATAAACAACAATTGAGCACAATTATTATTTTAATAGTATCTTCATGACATTTAATATTGAGCACATCCCAGCACTTTGGGAGTCCAAGGTGGGAGGATCGCTTGAAACCAGGAGTTCGAGACCAGCCTGGGAAACATAACGAGATCCTATCTCTACAAAAAACTTTAAAATTAACTGGGCACAGTGGTGTGTGCCTGTAGTCTCTGCTACTCCAGAGGCTGAGGCAGGGGGACCCCTTGAGCCCAGGAGTTCAGAGGCTGCAGTGAGCTATGATCACACTACTGCACCCCAGCCTGGGCATAATTTCTAGTGCCAAATTCTTTGATTCTAGGATATCTTTATTAAAATGACATATCAAATGTAGCTTCTTGTTGATTCATGTATTATGAGCTTGTTTGAACAGGCTGCTGTTCTCCAGAAGCAGAGACAAACTAGTCTTTGTGTTATTGCTTAGACTCTTCTGTCAGCTGTTGCTTCAAACTTCTGTTATCAGTGCATCCTGAGCTATATAGTACAGTGCTGTCTTATTTCATACTCACCTGTCTGGCCACTGACCTACTGGAGGCTATTTCTCACATGGTGTCAAGCACATGGACATTGTGACAACTGTTTTCTCAGAGACCTTTTTATTAAAGGGTTGTGGTATGGTTTTTTTCTTTTTTTTTTTTTTGAGATAAGCACACGGACATTGTGACAACTGTTTTCTCAGGGACCTTCTTATTAAAGGATTGTGGTATGTTCTTTTTTTTTTACCTTTGTCTTTTTTTTTTTGTCTCACTCTGCCACCCAGACAGGAGTGCAGTGGTGCAATCTCAGCTAACTGCACCTCCACCTCCTGGGTTCAACTGATTCTCCTGCCTCAGCTTCCCAAGTAACTGGGATTACAGGTGCCCCACCACCACACCTGTAGAGATAGAGTTTCACCATGTTGGCCAGGCTGGTCTGGAACTCCTTACCTCAAGTGATTTACCTGCCTCAGCCTCCCAAAATGCTGGGATTACAGGCGTGAGCCACCGCCTGGTTGGTATGTTCTGAAAGACTCAGGCCACCAGGTACTTCACCAGAATGGACAAAAAGGTAGGTCTTCACCTGCTTTTAAATGGTGACTTGTCCAAAAGTTCTAGCAACCTGGTGGCCATAGGCCTTATTCTTTCTTTCCAGCACTTTTTTTACATTCTTTCATGGACCTATGCCTCTTCTGACAAATTCCAGCCACCATAGTAATCAGAGAGGGGACTTCAATCCTGGTGTTGCTTTTACTGGTACCAGAGTAACCTCCCAATTTGTAATTAATACAGAAAATCAAACTCTCCAGGTAATCAAGATACTCCCATGTTGACATACACTAACACTGCCAGTTGCCTTAAACAAGAGAAGTGGGTTGGGAAGAGGGAGTATGGTTATTCTAGTAGAGGTACTTGTGTGCCAAGGGATAGATTGGGGAGCAGAGCAAATAGGGACATACTCTAAGCCTGCATAAGAGGAATTTAACTGCTTTCATCAGTTAGCAAACTAATTGAGGGGTTCTGTTATGAAATGCTGGGCTCCTTGAATACATTGGATAAACTTGTGCTTGAGGTGAGTGCTATAGTGATAAGTGATTTTCATCTTGCTTGTTCTGGAAATAGGTAAGGACATGAGAATTTGAATGATGCTGGAGCTGACCATAATGAAGAGGCAATTATTCTGTTTTATAAGTCCTACAGAAACTGAGCTCATAAGTTTCTCAGTGGTATGTAGGAACAATTGGGGAACTGAAAGTAGATAGGTAGACATGCATAGATTGATTGGTTTTGAAGATGGAGTCTTGCTCTGTCCTCCAGGCTGGAGTGCAGTGGCACAATCTCAGCTCACTGTGACCTTCGCCCCCTGGGTTCAAGTGATTCTTATGCCTCAGCCTCCTGAGTCGTTGGGACTATAGGCACATGCCACCATGCCTGGCTAATTTTTTTTTTTTTTTTTTTTTGTATTTTTAGTAAAGACAGGGTTTCACCATGTTGGCCAGACACGGTGGTCTTGAACTCCTGACCTCAAGTGATCCACCAGCCTTGGCTTTCCAAGGTGCTGAGGTTACAGGTATGAGCCTGGCCTGAAAGTATATTGAAATGAACGGGTTTCATAAAGACCAGTTGGAGCACAATTGTGTATGAAGGCAACCTGTTCTAAGGCCTGAAGAATGATAGCCAAGAAAAGGATCCAGCTGTGGATGCCCCCAGGAGAGTGGAATTTTAGAAATGATAAGGTTCAGTAACAGCAGGTGAGGGATGAGGGAAAGGACAGGAATGGAAAAGAGTGACCATTAGAATAAGAAATGCAATAGAAAACTTATAATTAGCCTAAGTTGTTTCCACCACTGGGATTCACATCTGTCTGTGTATACCAGAAGCCTGGTAGGTGGACCCATCAGGAATTTGTGTGTTTGAGGGACTAAGCAGCATTCTGAGAAAAGTGAACTAGTCAGACATATCTGACCCCTTAACGAAACTCTTGTTTACAACTTTTAAAAAAACAGTGGATTGGCCTGGTGTGGTGGCTCACGCCTGTAATCTCAACACTTTGGGAGGCCTAGGTGGGTGGATCACTTGAGGCCAGGAGTTCAAGACCAGCCTGGCCAACATGGAGAAACCCCATCTCTACTTAAAAATAAAAAATTAGCCAAGCATAGCGGCGCATGCCTGACCCATAGCTACTCAGGAGGCTGAGGTGGGAGGATCATTTGAACCCGGGAGGCAGAGGTTGCAGTGAGCTGAGATCGCACTACTGCACTCCAGCCAGGGTGACAGAGTGAGACTCTGTCTCAAAAACAACAACAAAAATACAGTGGACTAGAAACATAGCTTCCTCCTGAAATGCCAATAAAATGACAGTAAAGGAATGTTAAATGATATAAGGACAAAGAACATGAGAGAAATTATGGCAGCATCCAGGCAATGTCAACAAAACCTTTGAATCTGGAAAGCAAAAAACAAGGAACAAACTGAGTAGACCACAGAAAGCAGAAGTCGGACAGGTGCTGGAGGAGTGTTACCAGCAATAAGCAAGCACATTTGTACCATAGAACCCCAGAAAAGGCTTAGGAATTGGAGGCATCAGTTATCTGGAAAACAAGAGGTAGTAGATGGAGGGCTTAAAAACAAGATGGTTACTTGA